TTCAAATATTCGTAAGTCCTTCCAGAAAATCCTCAGACAACTCCATAAGTGGAAGTTGTGGAGATGGAAAATCCAAGGGAGGAAGATTGGGTATTGGAATATCCTTGTCTTTCCCAGTATTTGCTGCAAATTTCTGCCAGGTTGAAGGTGTAGCAGTGTCTGAATGTGGTGGCAAGTTCCATAATGCTGACTTTTCTATAAAATCAGTATCCACATCCAGCTCCTTATCTACTGGAACTTTTACAAGTCTGGCTTTTTCAGCCTTTAGTGCTTTATTTTCTTTCCTTAATCTTTCATTTTCAGCCACAAGGAACTCCTCATACATTTTCAAATTTGCAATTTTGGTTGCCTGCTTCTCAATAATTATTTTATCATCCTTCGGGGCTTTGCTTCCAATACATGGCTGTGTTGTCTCACTCTTTTGCTGAAGTAAAAATAGTAGTGTTTCTGTATTCCTGTCAAAGACTCCCTGAATTTCAGAGAGGTGTTTCTCTGTACAAGGGCTGTAGTTCTGAGAAAGAAGGGGACTCTGAGCCTCTGCAACCTCAGTAGAGGGTTTGTGAGATGCCTGAAAATGGGTGGCTACATCCTTGTCTGTGTTCTGAGCTTTTGATAGTTCTTCACACTTTGCCCTTTTCCACCTCTCCTGGATGAGGAGAAGCTGTTCCATGTGGCTATCCCCTTTTAATTGCAGTGATAAATGAGCCTGCTCAGACTTGGTCAGCTTCAGAGCATCAGAAAGATAGGCCGTAGCCTTCTTGTGACAAGAAATAGCCTCTTGGTATTTTCCTGAAGCTCATAAACGGTCTGCTCTGCTGAGGAGCCAGGTTGAGAGATGCTTCCATGACTTCCAAAGACCCCGGCGCAGTGTCGCCAGGGCACTTGGAGGGAAGGAGGAGAAGAGCGCGAGGCAGCCTTGGAGACCGCCGCCCCTCAGCGAGCCCAGCGAGACCCTGGGAGGCAGGCGCAGAAGAGGCAGCCACCCTACCTCTTCCTTCCCCAGCGCCTTGGCTGCCCTCTGAGCGCTGCGTTGCCAAGTGCTTACATCACTGGCCCAGGGCTGGTTCCAGGTGGGAGTGAGGACAGGAGTAGGTGGGGTTCCCGGAGGGCGGGGCAGCGGCTGAGGTCTGCTTCCAGAGTTCAGTTTGTTTTTTTTCCCCATGAAATAGCTTCTGAAAGGGTAGTCGGATATTTTGTGAGGAGGTGCAGGCTTTTAGAACCTTAAGAGGGCTATCTTCCAATACTCACGTCTCTCATTTCCTGCTCGCCTGACTTTTTTCAGAATTCACTCTGCTTAGCCACATCCTATCTTGCACTTGTGTACCCACCTTTATCCTTGTATCTGTTGATGTTTTTCAAAAAGTAGATCTGAGAGCTGGGGTTGTAGCTCAGTGGTCAAGCACTTGCCTCGCACATCTGAGGCACTGGGTTCAATCCTCAGTACCACAATAAATAAATAAATAAATGAAGTAAAGGTATTGTGTCCATGCACAACATAAAAAAAGCAAATTTGAGCA